TGACCCCACATATCTCCTCATAGAGCCTAGCCTCCCGGATAATGTGTTCTGCATACAGGTTGAAAAGGTATGGAGACAGGGCACATCCATTGTGTACACCCTTCTCAATTTTCAACCATGCAGGGTTTTCTTGCTCTGTTCTGATGACTGCCTCTTGGTCCAAGTATAGGTTTCTCATTAGCACGATCAAGTGTTCTGGGATATATGAACTTTATAAATAAAGGTCTTTTTCCCCCCACACACAAGCAAGGTTGTATCATCTGCAGGTTGTTAATGATTATTCCTACAATCCTGATGTTACTTTAAATTCTTTTCAGATATGTATTTAGGGATGAAATTACTTGATCATAGGGTAGTTCTTTGTTAAATTTTTGAGGAACCATCACCATACTGTTTTCCATAGTAATTGCGTCCTTTTACAACATCTTTAGTGGTAGTAGTGGTAAGAAGCTGCATTGCAATCCTGAAGACACTCGGTTCGAGTCCACCAGGTGGTCTGTGGGAGGATGGGCAATCTCCTCCTGAACGATTAGCTGCCTCTGCAAACCTACTGGAGTGTCAGCAGTGGGTCGGTTCTGACTCGATGGTACACACAACAACAGCAGTAGTGGATGAGGATTCTAATTTCTGCACATCTTTGCCAATACTTGTTCTGAGTTTGGGTTTTAATCTTGGACATGCTAGTATATGTGAAATGGTATCTTACTCAGTTTTTTTTATTTGCATTATCCTAGTACTAATGACTTTGAGCATTTTTTAAAAGAAACACATCTTTATCTGTTCCATCCTTTTTGTAGAAGGATTAACTACTCAATCTCAAATAAGTAGTATATTCTTATTATCAGAAACTGTCATTGTACACAAATGTTCCTAATAGCATTATTCATAATACCAAAAAGTAGAAACAACTCAATTGTCCTAAACCAATGAATCAATAAATAAAATGTGTTATATTAATTAGGTGGAATATCATCTGCCAATAAAAAGAAATTAAGCCCTGATACACTTTAAAAAAGATGCACTTTAAAAACATTAAGCTAAGTGAAAGAAGTTAGACACAACCTAAGTGCCCATCAACAAATGAATGGATAGAGAAGCTGTGGTATATTCGCACAATGGAATACTACGCTGCATTGAAAAACAAGGAACTCATGCAGTATTATTCAAAATGGGTGACCCTGGAGAACATTATACTGAGTGATACATCTCAGTCACATAGGCACAAATATTGCATAGCGCCACTGTTGTAAAACAGGACTGACATTGAGTTTGGGGGGAGACTGAGAAAAATGGGATAAATAATGTATACTGCATTGAAACAGATGAGGGAGAAAACTGTTTAAAAGGGATATGTGATCAGGTATTATTGTCATGACAGGAGTCCAGAACAAAGGCTGCATAGTGGAGTGGACTTGGGGGGAGGGATTGTAAAAAAAATGAGAGAATTTTTCTTTTACTTTTCAAAGAGAAGAGTGTACTGGTCGTGGGGGAGAGGTGGGGCAGGGAGAAAAGTGCAACAATGAATGAATGGAAATGAAAAGAAAAAAAGAAGTTAGACACAAATATAATTCTACTTATAATAAATGTCTGTATGGTTAAATCTATCTTTTAGTGATATTATATAAGACAGAGTAGAACAGACCCAAAAAGTTTCATAGGCTGTAATCTGTATGGGAGCAAACTGGCTCGTTTTTTCTCTCAAAGAGCTGTTGGTAGGTTCTAACCAATTAGTTTTCAATTAGCAGCCAGGAGCTTAATCATTGTGTGCCACAAGGCCTACCTGTAAAGCCGATGAATATATTGATAACAAGTAGACCAGTGCAAGCTATGGTGAGGAGAGTTAGGGGTGATAACCAAAATAGAAGTTATAAAAAGTTTCTAAAGTCATAGTGAAAGTATATTCAATTCTACATATACTATAATCCACTGATTTAAACACTTTAGACTTGTGAATTGCATGGAATATAAATTGTATCTCAATAGAGCTGTTTAAAAAAGAAACAATAGTGGTTGTCTCTATGGAAGGGGGGATTTTGGGTTGACACAGCAACTGTTACAATGGGCTTGAGTAGAACAGAGATTATGAGGATGGCACAGGATAGGACACTGTTCAGATCGCTTGTTCACAGGATCACTATGAGTCATACTTGTTTTGACAGCACCTAACAACAACAAACTAGGGAGGTGTTCCAGGGAGGGAGGTAAGTTCAATTTTAATGCTCTTTGAAATTTATACTAGGTATTTATATTACATAGTCAAAATAATTATATATATGTTTAATTTTTTTTTAAAAAAAGCAGCATTGCTTTAGAGTCTAACAAACTAATCCAAATCTTGCTTAGAATCCCGGCTGTGTGACTTTTGTAAAGCTTTTTCTTTAAAAAAAAATTGAGCCTCAGTTTCCTTAGAATCAAGATAATAATAGTTCTTACATCAAAAGGTTGGCAGCATTTAATGAGGTATCCTACACACTTACTGAAAGGAGCTCTGATGAATTAGGGGTAAGGTGTGCCAATCCAAAGTCACACAGTTCAAATCCACCAGCTGCGTCATGGAAGGAAGGTGGGCTAATAGGCTAACTCCTCTGATGCAATTCACTGCCTCTGAAAACCCTCCAAAGAGTCGACTATGAGTTGATTCCAACTCAGTGCTACACAATAACAACATGCTTACTGAAAAAGATAAAAGACTGCAACCTTCAATGTAGTAAAAATAATTTATTAGCACATAACAACAACAATAATTACATATGTAAATATATAATAATAATAATAATAATAATAATAATAATAATTATTATTATTATTTTGATCTCAACATCAATGAAACAAATCTTCCAGTACTGGACTAATAGGCAACATAATCATAGGTGAGAAAAGACTGAAGTTGTCAACTATTTAATTTCGCTCGGATCCATAATCAATACGATGGCGGCAGCGGCAGTTAATAAATCCAAAGACATGCTACATTGGGAAAATCTGCTATCTAGGACCTCCCCAAAGTGTTAAATAGTAAGGATGTCAGTTTAAAGACTAAGGTGCACCTGATCCAAGCCATGGCTTTGGATTAGTTTCTATGCATCTAAGGGTGGACAGTGAATAAGGATAACTGAAGAATTGCTGCCTCTGAATTGTAGTGTTGGAGAAGAGTATTTAGTATCCTATAGACTGCCAAAAGAATAAACGTGGAGGAATTGCAATCATGGGTGCTCTCTCGAGGCAAGGATGGTAAAACTGCTTCTCACATACAAGGAAGGACCAGAGTGCTTGGAAAAATACATCATGCTTGGAAATGTGGAGAGTCAGACAAAGAAGAGTCTAAAAAACCCCTTAGTTGCCACAGTGACTGTAACAACAGGCTCGAGCACACTGGAGATCATGCAGATGATGCAGGTCTGGGCAAGGTTTGAATCTGTTATGGTCAATATGACTAGTAGTCGACTCAATAGCACATAACAACAACAGAGGTCTAGTGTAGGGCCTGACACTGGCACACAGTCAGCACTGAATAAATGTGTCTTAAAATAATGAAATAAAAAACATGTGTCAAAAACCAAAAACATGTGTCACTCCTACTTTTCAGCTCAAAATGTACTCTGAAGTTCTCTTCAGTCAGTACCCATAGGATCTGATCTTGCTGTGTCTGAAAACAGTGTTGTTCTCATTAAAGATGTGCCACATGCACATCTACCAAGTGAGAACTCACCTATGCTATGGGTACCAAAGAAAAGACCCAGCGACCTGTGATGTGAAGAGAGGCTGAGAATGGAACCTGCTGGAGCTTCCACCAGAGGGTGATAGGAAGGTTGGAGAGCCAGTTCCTTCTTGTCCAGAGAGGAAAAAGAAAATCCAAATTCTGAAGACTCAAAAGTTGATTTTAGTAAAAATAGTTTGTAAACATTTCAAAGGTTTGTTTTGGTTTTTTTTTCTCCCCAACCAAATTATTTCCGTGAGTATCCATTTCTGTTCTGTGGGCCTACTGGCAAGAAGCTGCACTGCAGTCCTGAAGGCACTCAATTCGAGGCCACCAGCTGCTCCGCAGGAGAAGGCTGGGCAATCTCCTTCCATGGATTAACTGCCTCTGAAAACCCACCAGAGGGTCAGCTATGGGTTGAGTCCATCTTGACAATACACAACAACAACAAATTCCTGAGAAGACTAATAATTCTTACATTAAAAAGTTGTCCAGATTTAATGATGTCCTGACACTGTCACGCAGTAAGCACTGGGTGATGGTTTCTTAAAGCAAATAATAGAAGGGCTCTTCAAGACACTAAAGACACTGCAGTCTGCAAAATGGCAAGGAAGAGTCATAAGAAAATTTTTAAATCTCTGATTGGGGCAGAGGAGAGAAAGCCATGCAAAACCTCAAGGTCTCTGGCAAGGATCTCAGCTTTAAAAATGGTCTCCTGTCAAATAGCTGAGAGGTGTTTACAGTATGGTACATAGCCTCCCAGCTAAGGAGAACCTAGAGACTGCTGCCTAGGAAGAGATGACTTACTTTGAAGCTGTATCTGACAATGTTCTGAGGTGCATGTGGGTTATTGGCTGTCAGAATCCGGGTGAACTCTTCCTTTAGCTCCTAAGAGACAGAAATACAAAGAGAGTTGATCATATATGGAAGGTCCCTCTATTCACACCCTCCTTGAAGCTTGGGGAGGTCCTTTCCTATCCCTTATCTGGATGTCAAGGGGATTTCATACCCAGGTTCTGTGAAGACTCCTAGTAAGCACAGTGGAAGAGCACAGCTCTGAAGCTGGAACAGATGGAAGGAGTAAGGGCAAGATGCTGCTCACTTACCGCATCAGTCAGTTCCAGCTGGTCAGGTGGTTTGACTGTGGCTTTGGACTGGGACCATTCATCTGTCCCTTCTCCCACATCAGTCCCTGAATCTTCATCCTACACAAAAACTTCATTGAAGGTTTAGAGTGTCTGTTCTTGGACAAGCAAGCAATGCTGTAAGCCCTCCCACAAAACAAGCTCTGTCCCTTACAGAGTATACAAAATATCCAACAGAATGCTCAAGAAAGAGTCCAAAGGAACTACTCAGGCCAGAGTGCTGATTGCCTGGAAGATCATGACCACCTTAGTCCTGCATAGTGTCAAGAATTTATTGTTCAGAATGGCTTTCCTAGCCATTGACTTTGACTTTGTCATGTGGATAGGTGGGAACATGAAATAGGGTGGGTTAGTCTATCTACAAGGGGATTGGCTAGTCTTGTCATTAAATTGAGTAGTATCAGCAGCAAAAATTGAGAATCTCAATAATAATGATTTTATACAATATTTATCCTTGTGGGACTGAGTTCACTCAGTATAATGCTCTCCAGTCCCTCCCAAGTTAGGTAATAATTTACAAAAATATTGTATAAAACCATTATTGTAGAATGAGTATAAGGATCCAAGAGGGGTGGGAGAGGTTGGAAGCAGAGGGATGTGGATGTGCAGGGGTGGGGGGGGAGATTAATCATTGAGTTGTACAATTTGATGGGGGGGTGAGAGAAATTGAATTTGTTCTTGAAAACAATGTATTTGAATTTTATAAATAAACTAGTAGAAAATTAAAAAAAGAATGGAATAATTTAAAAGAATTGGAATCTCAACAACAAGGAAGAGGAAGCAGCACACATCCTTCATGGCCAGAGATTTCTGTGCCAGTCAGACCAAGATCCACATAAGAGCAACAGCTGCCTCAGCAGAGAATCAGAGACCAACCTGAGATACAGCTGACTTGGGACTGCTGCCCCACAGTGCCAGAGCCAGAGGCCTACAACCCAAGCTTGCTGAAGAGCTGAGTAAAAACACTGTAACTGACAGAATGAAGGGAACTTGGTAATACTGACCTAAGCCATATGGCTGAAGATCAAAGAGCCTGTGACTATGCTTGAGATGCTGTCTGTACTGAGTGATTGTATCCTGCTGCCATACTGAATAACTTCCCTAACAAACCCCATTACCATGAGTATTGTTTTGTAAAGTCTGTGTAGTCATTGCAATGGATTTTTTAACAATAAGATTGGTGTTGGGATTAGTAGAAGTAGGTGCAAGAGCATGGGAGACCATGTCTGATATTATAGGAATTAGTTTTGTACTGTAGATGTAGTTCATGACATCAGTTCCCCTTCGTAGAGTTAACAGACATCAGACTCGACCATCCCATGCTGCCTGCACTCTTTTTACACCCTGGAACAGTGGTGTGGTGGGGTTTTGTCCCAGTTGTGGAACCACAGGAACTTGCTCCTCCATCATGTACCTTGGAAGCTAATGTCCAGGATCAACTACCAAGGCTTTATACAAAGTACCTTAGACCTCAACAAAGGATGCAGAGCTGATCTTTAAGCTATTTCAAGCATATATATTTATTTTTCAATTTGCCACCAACTTCCCTGTGTGAAAAAGATGGGCAATCTCCTCTTGTGCTCTTTACTGCCTTTGAAAACCTGCAGGAGGATCAGCTACAGGCCAGTTCCAACTCAATCAACAATAACAACTTTGAAGCTATTCTTAAAACTCATTTAAACTTAGTAACTTCAAGTTTCACAGTATCACCTAGTCTTTGGAGCAAAAAACAAAAGGAAAGACTAAAAGTTCTACCTTTCCCTGATAAATAGTTAAAGATCTTGCCAAAGTGGCCTATGACATAGTTAATGTTTCCCATCATTATTTTTATCAAAGATGTACTAAAAAAATGTTGTTGCTATGTACTATTTGAGTCAGAACAAACTCTAGGTGACCTCCCAGCAGGTTTTCCAGAGGCTGTAAATCACACGGAAGAAGACTGCCCAACTTTGTTCCATGCAGTAGCGGGAGAACTTGAACTATCTGTCTTTGAGTTGGCAGCACACTTCTTTACCACTAAGCCACCCTGGAGCTCCCTCTACTAAACATAGCAGTGCCACTTTTACATTTTACAACTAGAAAACTTCAAAACAGAGACAAAACCAATCAAACAAAATGAGTATTCGTGTTACTGAGAGGAAAATGCACACCCATAAACTAACACAGCCTTTCTAGAGAACAATTTGAAAATATTTATCAAAAGCTTAATAAAATGTTTATATTCTGACTGTTGTTATAGTGGTGGTGTATGTACCATCAAAAAAGAATCAAGCCATTACTAACCCTCTGTCAGGTTTTCAGAAGCAGTTAATTGAATAGGAAGTGACTACCCATCTTTCTCCCACGGAGCAGCTGGTAAATTCAAACCACATGCCTTTGGAATTGCAGCGCAGCTTCTTAACACTAGGCTACCAGAGCTCCCATATTCTAACATTCTATGTATAGGAAGTTTTACTACAAAATAACCAAGGATATGCCGATTAGTTATGTACATATATATCTGTGGAAGGACTTGTTATAACAGTGACAAAGTAGAAACAGCTAGATATTTCATAATGAGGCATAGTTGAAAAAAATTAAGATACAGTTCTAAAGGACATAGGATAAAATATTATGCCATAATTTTAAATGATAGCATAAGAGTATACTTACTGTCAATAAAAAGTACTTTTATTACACAATCTAAAAATCTGGCTATTCCATTTAAAAAGAAATACTTTAGATACATGCATAAAATATCTAGGAGAATCTAATATAAAATATTAAGACATTATCCCTGTGTGGTAAATGTAAAGGTAAATTTAATGTTCTTATTTTTATTTGGTTGAATTTTCTATAAACAATATAGGTAATATTTTTAACAGAAAAAATATTTTTAGCAATTTATTGAAAGACTGTGGTGATATTAGTACTTACTTTTTTCCTGGCCCCTTTGCCCACACTGGTGCTCTGAAAGAAGAGCAGAAACAGAAGGTAAGTCATGATAAGTGAATCACAGTGGGAATAACATAAACAATATAAGGGCAAGGCTCCCACCCACGGACCTTGCAGGCAAAAGCCATTACGTTTTCCCGGTCTCAGAAATAATTCTCTCAGTGACAATGTGTGTTTACTGGTCCAAATGAGGAGGACTTGTATTTGAGGCAACTTCATTTCAGCATTAATGGGACCTGTGAAGATTGTGCTTGTGCAGATCCTACACCTAGACCAAGAGGCTATTGTGTGAACACAGCAAAGAAACACTGTTGTTGTGTTGCTGTGCACCATCGAGTCAGAACCAACCCACAGCTGAAACTCCAGCAAGTTTTCGGAGTCAGCTGATCACATAGGAGAAGCAATGATGTCCATTTGAGGACTTAAGGTGTGCCTGATTCAGGCCATGGTCTTTCAATCACTTGGTACGTGTCTGAGCTCTGGACAACGAGTAAGGATGACGAATAATTGATGCTTTTCAGGTGTGGTGTTGGAGAAGAAGACTGCAAAAGAACAAACAGATACATTTTAGAGAAGGTGCAGCCAGAGTGCTCCTTGGAGGCAAAGATGATAAAGCTTTGTCTCACATAATTTGGGCATGTTGCTAGGAGAGGCTATTCCTTAGAGAGGGATATCATGCCCTGGAAAGGTGGAGGGACAGCAAAAGAGAAGAAGACCTTCAACTAGGTGGACTGGCATAGTGACTATAGCAATGGACTCAAGTGTGTCCATTGTTGAGGATGGCATTGTGAGGATGGCACAAAATAGGATAGGGTTCAGATCTGTTGTTCTTAGGGTCACTATGAGTCATACTCGACAGCACCTAATAACAATAACAACAAAGAACAAAAGATAACTTGGCACAAATATTTCTTACCTGCAACCAGTTCAACAAGCCATTTTTGGAGTATATTTTAAGTGCACATCTCTGTATTAGGCACTTAGGTGATTTTGAGGACAGATTAAATTTATAAAAACTTGTTTGATCTGAATGTTAGCTCCTTATAGGCAGGTATTTTATTTTTTTCTATTATTGTAGCCCTAGAATCTAGTGTTTGGAATATAGGATGTATTCTAAATACTTTGAATAAATGAATGCATGCCTTTAGAATCCATAAATGACCATCATCCTGGGCAAAGCATTCTTCCTCAGCCTCAGTTTCCTTTTCAATAAATTAAAGATGGTTAGATATAATGACTTTTCAATTCTAACATGCTAAAATTTTAAGTTTCCCAGAGTAATAATTCTCAATTCAACTTGATAAATATTTTTCAAACATTTACTTATGTGTCAAGTACTAGCCTCAACACTAGGACAAAATCAAAGAAAGATGAGGTCTCCACATCAATTTGCAACAGGGTCAATGGAGAAAAGACATATATGATCAGTGCCTGCTACTGCTCTTGGGGAGATTTCTAGGCTTTTATTTCTGAAATTTAAAATGAGAGAGATTTAGCTGGGTTCTTCCAGTTCTCATGTGATAGTCTTTGGGAGAAGCTTTGATGGTAGATGGGAGGAAAGGAATTCTAGGGTGACTAAAAAGCATGTATCATTTATTGTCAGTAGTGTGGGCAACAGAATTCTGATTTATGCCAGGTTTCCAAAGTTTTTATTGATGGGAATCCCTCTCTGAGGCCAACCTTCATGAACCAGAAAGCTACTTTCCTTTGAAGTGAATCTGATCCCTAAGGTAACTGGATGGAAGCATCACAATGTCCAACAGCTTTCTAGCCCACAACAGAACAGCATAGGGCCAATCCCAAGCCAAACCACCAGCCTTCAGTAGAAAACGAGATCCAGTTACCACTGCCCCCCATAAATATGTCTGTAAAACATTTATCTGGCAATAAAAGAACTGACAAGGCAATTTGAGCATAATTGTTTTTGGCAGTTGGAAATATTTCAATTAACACACTATAAAAGCCACACTATAATAAATGCAAAACAGGCCAATGAAATCAGCTACAGCTCTGACTTCCCAACCATGGCAAAAGAGATTGAATGTCAGGCTGCCACTCTGGGCCCTTGGTCTTCCAGAAAGAGAAGCCTAAGACAGACAAGCCTGAATTCCTGAAGAGTTTTTGATGGTTTCTCCCAGAAGCCGTCAAACCACAGAAGAAAGCCCAAATTCCCTCCTCTTGGCCTTCAGAATTCCATCATCTGGACTCAAGTCTGGGTCTTTCTCAGTCTGCTACCCTACCCCTCCTGTGCTGGGACTTTGAAATCAGCTCAATGAGGCTGCTCTCAGTTTCTGAGTCTGGTCTTTGCTTTCTTACCTCTGCACCAATCCTCTTGGAAAGAATGACATTCTCACCTTCTCTCTTCTTGCTCCCCCTATCTCTAACAAAACACTGTCCAGCTAAACTCTTGGGTCCTCCTTCTTTCATCTACTCCCCCTGACACACAATCACATTTCTTCTACTTCCCTGCGTACTTTTCCTTTCCTCATTTCGAGCAAGGCTCCCCTCTCCTTTTCCTCCCATGCATTGGCTGGTGTGAGTTATGGATTGTATGTATTTTCAGAAAGATACTCTGAGGACAGAAGTGTTTTATTAACCACTAGCCTAGTACATGGATGGAGTTGACCTACTTACAAGTTCACTGGTAGCAAATTAGCTGTCTATTGGTCACTACTCAGTTCTCTCGCATACCTGACTTTGCTAAGGGTTCTTTCCCTTCCTTCCTTTATTTCCATGCTAATGACCTCTCCAATGGCTCCTTCTCAATGTGCTTTACTGGTATCATGAATTGTGTCTCCTCAAAATACATATACATTATAATACAATGTAGAAGCTCTCTCATGATCTTTGTAGTATACTAAACCAAACAGTTGTAGAAAGACTAAGCAACACTTCCTAATCCCATGCAGCCCAAATTAAATATAAGGGGAGTTCCCCTGGGGTGTGGCCAGTAATAACTGGTATCTCACTCACTAAAGACAAAACGGGGAGAAAGCAAGCCAAGAGAAGGGGGTTCAGTATTACCAAGAAATAATCATCAGGAGTGGTGGTTGTTTTCCTTACCTCTAAAGTATACCCTGACAGCACTTCATTCAAGAGAGACTTGTTTATTCTTTTGGCATTTCATGTAATCTTCACCAATACCACAATTCAAAGGGATCAATGGATAAGAAAAATGGATGCCTTTGAATTGGAGTAAAATACGTCTTGGTTGAAGTGCAACCGAGTGCTTGTTAGAGTCCAGGATGGTGAGACTTTGTCTCACATACTTCACACACGCTGTCAGGGCAGGCTGAGCCTTGGAAAAAGACATCATGCTGAGAAAGGCAGAGGGTCATGAAAAAAGAAGACAACCCTCCACAAGATGAATTGACATGGTGATTTTAACAATAGACCTGAACATGAAGCCATACAGGATGGTGCAGGATAGAGCAGTGTTCATATCTTTTGTTCATAGGGTCACTGAGTTTTAGACAACTTAATAGCACTTAACAACAGCAACAAACCTATGAGGCAGAAGCTATAATTATTCTCATATTGTTTTTGTTCTTGTTGATTGCCATTAAGTTAAGCACGACTCACAGAGACCCTATGACTAAAAGGCCTGAAGCCCCTTTACAACTATCAACATTTATCAAAGTTCATACAGTTTCCAGAGGCATGTTATGTAGGAAGTGGATGCCACTTTTCCTTCCAGTATTATTACAATATGAATAATATTCTCATATACTAATAGCAAAACTGTGGCATTCAGAACAGAAATCAAGCAATTGCCCAAAAGTGATCAGGATTTGAACCCAAACTAAATTACTACATATCAGTGTTCTTTATAACATATACATTCTGTCACTGTTGATTCAAAGTCTCAAGGACACCCACCAACCATGAGATAAAACTCAAACATGGCACCCACATAATTTCTCTTTCTCTTCCACAACTGCACTCAGCCACTTAAAATTTTAAGTGTAGGTAAGAAAGGGTCACATAATAGGAAGATTAAGCCTGTGTGCTTTGTTATCAAATACACCCCAAAAGCTTTTAGCAAAATAATGACTGATTTAGAAAGGATTGCCTAGCCTGGGCACGTAATATATAATGTTAAGGGTTTATTGTTCAAAATGGATCTTTCAGCCATTGACTTTGCCTTTCCCATGTGGATAGGTGGGCATGTGGGAATAGGGTGTGTTAGTCTATTCAGAAGGGGATTGGTTAGTCTCACCATCAGATTCAGCAGCAGAATTTGAGACTCCTAACCTCCAGCAAAAAAGCAGAGAATGCAGTGTGTGCTCTGTGAAGCCAGAGATTCTTGCAGCAGCCAGATCCATAGGAGAGAAGTAGCAATCAGCAACAGAGAACTGGAGACCTGATGTGAGAAAGAGCTACCCTGGGACTGCTATCCCACAAAACGAGAGCTAAGAGATTTTGCCCAAGTTTTTTTAAGTCTGTCGGGGAGAGCCATAACTGACAGGACTAAGAACTTTGTAATAGTGGTCTAAAATTGTGGAGCTGCTGGCTGAGTCCCTGTGGCACAGTTCAGAAGCTGTCCTGACTGAGTAACTATATCTGCCATCAACCTGAATTATAGTGTTTGTTTTTGTGGTTTGTTTTTTTTTTACTTCCCTAATAGCGTTCTGTGTTATCTGTGAGCTATGGCAACAAATTTTGGGTCCAGAAGAGCAGTAAGGTTGGTGTTAGTAGAAAGAGGTGCAGGAGCATGGGAGAAATGTCTGACCTCAAGGGAATTGGTTTTGTGCTGTGGATGTTGATGATGAGGACAGCTCCCTTTTGTGGAATAAGGAGACATCAGATATGATCATCCCCACATGGTCTTTGCTCTTTTCATACAATGGAACCGCATATAATGTCTCCCTCTATCTATATGTTCATAGGTTGCTTTCTGAACACCTGACTTCACTGGTATAAACCAAGTATCTTCCTTCCCTCAAAATTGCCAACAAAAATTGCTAGTTATGATTAACACCTGTCTGGCTAGCCTCTAGGGGAGTACCTGTGATTCTCTCTAATCATCTTCCTATCCTAGCACATTTTTTTATATTCTCCTGTGTTTATAAATCTCATTAGATTTTTTTATGACTTTTAGCTGTCTCTCCTAGGTTGATCCGGCCCC